TCCTCCTCCTCCTCCTCCTCCTCCCTCTCTTCCTCCTCCTCCTCCTCCAAGGCCTCGAATAGCGAATCGCGGCTGTCTTTTCGCGCCCCCGAAGGTGACTTGGGCAAACGGAGGGGTAGGACTGCGGAGGACACTGGCACATCTGAGGCTCGGAAGCGCGCAGCCCTTTTCGCAAGCTCACAAGTGGCGTCCCAGTCTCGGGGTTCCGCTTGGTACCTCCTGAGATGGCCGCACAAGCACCCTGCGTTCGGGGGCGGCAAAGAGGGGGGTGTCCAAGAGGGGGGGTGCAAATCATGACCGGCGGCATGTGCGCGGCCCGACGGGGGGGCCAGGGACGTAATGAAATAAGAAGAGGCGCCATGAAATCTGGGGAAATATCATGGCCCACGCCATGATATCCACCCCCCCTAGTCATCACCCCCCTCTTTTCCGCCCCCGATGCGTGACACTTCGCAAGTGACCGTAATAACCCCGCGCCCCGTGGAAGACAGCAGCCCCGAGTCTTGAAAAGCGCAGGCGCGCGGCGACGTCCGGCCCAGAGCGCTGAGCGCACCCGCGTCAATCGGCAGAGGCCGGCACGCTGGCACCACCACGAAGACCCGGGATTCGGGGATGGACAGACCTCCCTTTAGCAAAACGTGGTTTAGTGAAAACGACCTCGGGCCCAAACCTGGCGGGCGCAAGCCTGGAAAAGGACGGCCGCGGCGCCCTCTCGAGAGCCGAGAACGGACAATTCACGAATCGACGCGTCGGGGTAGGAGGCCTGTCCGACCCCGAGGGATCGCCTCCATCAGCGAGGCGGAACGACGAGGGAGGGGCCCGCTCCAGCGGAGAGACGTCGGCCTGGAAGCGGCAGCACGTCGTGGGCAGATCGGCGAAAGGTCCCCCCGATAGCATCTCCGCACGCTCCTGGACGAATTTCGGGTCGGGCAAAAGGGGGGGATAGCAAAGGGGGGGTTTGAGAATCAGCTCACGTAGCTGATTTTTCCAGCGCCTCCCGGCGCCGGGAGCGGCCATGTATCGAGGAATGGGCCCCTCGGTGGGGCCGAAACCAGCTGCATGCAGCAAATTTCGTAACCCCCCCTTTCCCAATCCCCCCCTTTCGCCCGACCCGAGAATTGGGGGCTACGCATCGTGCCCCTCTCGGCGATACTTGGGCGATTGGGGATCCCTGCGCTACCCCCGAGCCTATCTAGAGGCCTCCTGGATGGGGTCCGAGTCCGAGTAGATGCGATCGGAGGATCGCGCCGCATCGCCGACATGGGCGTCGCATCGGCGACGTCGGCGTGGAGTAAATCTGGCTCCGAATCGGCGATGCATCGCCGATTCATCGGTGATGCTGCGCCATCCTCCGACCCCATCTACTCCGACCCAATCTGGGAGGCCTAGAGCTACGTATCATGCCCCTCTCGGCGGTGCATGGGCGATTGGGAATCCTTGCGCCCCCCCCCCCCCCCCCCCCGAGCCTACAGTCGGGGCTGATTGGAGAGGACACGCAAGAGGACACAAGAACCTTCCGAGGGCCACACAACCATAGGGATGCAGAAGGCATGGGTCGCGAAACACAGGACACGAGGGTGCTCTGGATTTAGCAGGGTCGACCTACGAAATCAGCCTCGACTGTATCCCCCATCAACGTTGCCCCTGAGGGTGGCAGTGCACGGGCCAGCACCCACGCCGGTCCTCCTCCGGTACTCCTCCCCAGGGGGGGGGCAAGGGGGGAGTCCTTTTCCTCCTCCTTCTCCTTCTCCTTCTCCTTCTCCTCCTCCTCCTCCTCCTCCTCCTCATCTCCGCCTCCTCCTCCTCCTCCTCCTCCTCCTTCTCATCCCCCTCCTGGTCGTCGTCGATGCCTTTCAGGGTCGGCGGTACCGGCCGTCAGGCCTTCACAATCAGCCTCGGCTGTATCCCCCGTCAACGCTGCCCCTGAGGGTGGCAGTGCACGGGCCTCCCAGGTGGCCTCAGCTCGGGTCGGGCGAAAGGGGGGGATAGCAAAAGGGGGGTTTGAGAATCAGCTCACGTAGCTGATTTTCCCGGCGCCTCCCGGCGCCGGAGACGACTATGTATCGAGGAATGGGCCCCTCGGTGAGGCCGGAACCAGCTGCATGCAGCAAATTTCGTAACCCCCCCTTTCCCAATCCCGCCCTTTCGTCCGGCCCGACAGGTGGCCTCAGCACTGCCGCTGTCGCCAAGGCAGCCTTCCCCTCGGCTGCTGCCGAGCCCCGGCTGGCGGCGGTGGTGCCAACCTGCCGGCCTCGGGCTCGTGGCGGCTGCAGGGCCCCAGGCGAACCCCTGGGGGGCGCTGTCGGCGCGCAAGAGAAGGGGCTGGGGCGGGAGGGGCCGGCCTCCAGGAATATGTCTGTATGAAGACAACATACATACGCAAATACGCGTATGAGAGCACAAGTATGTGTAGGACTATCCAACGATCCAAGTATATATATATAATCACATGTGTCTATAAATGCATGTGTGTATGTATGAATGTATGTGTTAGTGTGTCTGTGTGTGTGTCTGTGTGTGTGTCTGTGTGTGCGTGCATGCGTGCGTACGTGCGTGTGTGAATGTGCTTGTGTGTCTGTGCGTGTTTGGCCCCCTGGGGGGCAAACACATAGTCTCTTGACGCCACCGGGGCCTGGCAAGGGACCCCCGAGGCCGAAAACGGCAGAACACCAACCGCGGCGATTTTGCTTACGACGCGGAAGGGTCTCCGGTTGGAGCCAGAAGGGCCCTGAGGAAATCCGTCAGGAGTGGGGTGATGAGGCGAAGTCCACCCACAATCGGTCCCAGGGTCCAGAACCGGTGGTGGACCACCTGAGACTCCCAGCCCCCTCCAAGTCTGGGGGTAGACCCCCGCCTCGGAAGCTGGGCGGCTTGGACGAAGGCCCCCAACTCCACCCCGGCGCGGCCTGGGCGAAGGACCCCCCATCCTCCTATATACGCAGCTCCCGTTTTTCCGATTGAGCCAAGGATTGCAACAAAAGAAAACGAAGGATTGCATAAAAAGAACCAAAGGTTTTTTTTTTGCAATCCTTCCTTCAAATTATGAATAATGCCTGCCTGCCACACCCCGAGACGTGTCTGTGGGGCGGGCCAGGCGTGTCGCCTGAGGCTTCGGCACAATCTGTGAGCCTTGACTTGCAGGAGCTTCGCGGACGGAGGATGGGTCGTTTTCAAAATGTTGCTCGAAGGATTGCAAAGGATTGCAAAGGATTGCAAAGGATGGGTCGTTTCAAAATGTTGCTCGAAGGGTTTTTTTGCAATCCTTCGTCCAAGGTTTTTTTGCAATCCTTCGCCCTTGGTCCGCGCACATATGATTAAAACTTTCGGACAACATCACGGATGGAGGGCGGGCCGTTCTCACAGTGCTGTTCTCGCCCGAGTGCCGCGCACACTCCTTTTTTAAAATTCAGAAGAGCTTCGCGGATGGAGGGTGGGCAGTTTCCCACATGTGGCTCTCGCATCAGCGCCGCTCAGTCGTCCCCCAGAGGCTTGCAAGAGCTCCACGGGTGGAGCGCAGTTGCTTTCCAACATGTGGCGCTCGCCTCAGCGCCGCGGACATTCGTCCTAAGAGATAGACAGCAGCTTCAGTGATGCTGGTTGACGTCCCTGAAATGGCATTCCGGCACGATGTAGGACTGTCAGGGCGCAACAGCCACGTTGATTCGCTATGTTGCAGTCCCGCGGATGGACTCCTGGCATGACTCAGGATCGTCAGGACGCAACAGCAACGTTGATCCGCGGCGCTGAAGTCCTAATAGTGGTGTTCTGGCACGGTTCAGGATTGTCAGACAGTCGTCTTCGAACGGGGTAGTTGCCTCAAAAGAAACGAGCGAACCTGGAGGGAGGCTTCGTTGCAGCATCGTTGATGAATCTTGGGTTTGCAGTGGTCCTCCTCCTCCTCTTCCTCCTCCTCCTCATCCCCTCCTCCTCCCTCCTCCTCCTCCTCCTCCTCCTCCTCCTCCTCCTCCTCCTCCTCCTCCTCCTCCTCCATTCCTTTTCCTTTTAATCATGTCCCTCTGTCGCACCCCGAGGCCAGTTCTTAGGGCGGGCCGGGTGTGTCGCCTGAGACTTCCTCACAAGTTATGATTCCGAAGCTTTCAGATTGGCAACAGCTTCACAGATGCAGGGCGGGCCGTTTTCAAGATGTGGCTCTCGCCTTAGCGCGGCGCACAGTCGTTTTAAACATTTGCAAAGAGTTTCACGGATTTAGGGCGGGTCGCTTTTAACACGTGGCTCTCGCCTTAGCGCGGCGCGCATTCATTTTACACATTTGCAACAGCTTCACTGATTGAGGGCGACTTGTTTTCAACATGTGGTTCTCGCCTTAGCGCGGCGCAAGTTCGTGTTAAATATTTGCAAGAGTTGCACGGATTGAGGGCGGTTCCTTTTCAAAATGCGGCTCTCGCTTTAGCACCGCGCACATTCGTTTACAACATGTTCAAGACTTCCACGGATTCCCACCATCAGCGTACCAGGCATGTTGTTTTGGAAGGATTCAGGATTATGCGAGCACAACAAGTACGTTGATTCTCTGTGTTGAAGTCCTAAAGATGGCGTTCTGGCAAAATTCAGGATCGTCTAAACGCAACAAACAGGTTGATCCGTGGCGTTGGAATCCCGTGAACAATGTTGTTTGGCATGCTTCAGGGTCTTCAAACGTGTGTCTTCCAACGAGGCAGTTCCATCAATGAAAATGAACCGTTGTAGGGGCCTATGAAGAGGGAACTTGGAGGGAAGGTTTGCTCCAACATCGTTGATGACTCTTGGGTTTACACTGGTCCTCCTCCTCCTCCTCGCCCCCCGCAAATCTTGAACAGGGACCGACCGTCCCGGCATTCCGATAGGCCTACCACGAAATGTTCTTAGAACCCAGAAACGTTCTAAGAACAAAACCTATGTTCTTAGAACATCCACCCCAAGTGATGCAAGAAAACAGTCCCAGCCAGACATGTTCTGAGAACATCTCGTGGAAGCCATGGAAGAGGTTCTCAGGACATTGTTTGGTAGGCCCATAGGCACGCCAGGCCGCCTCGCCACTGCTTGAAAATCATCGCGCCTCGACGAAAGGCCCCCCCCCCGCCCCGCGCCAGCCCTCTCACTGCGCGCCGCCGAGGGCGCGCGGCAGGGCGGGCGCGGGCAGGGCGGGCCGGGCGCGCCTCGGGGGCTGGGCCCACGGCCGGCCAGCCGGCCGGGGAAGGGCGCTCCGTGGCTCTCGCGGTGGCGCGCCCCGCTGCCCTGGGGCGACGAAATGTGTACCCAAACCCCCTCGAGTCATGAAGCAATCACGGCGCGAGGTGTTTCGCTATGCTCGGCCACTGGGGGCCCCTGCCGGGCCGCTTGACCGTCAAAAAACAACTCGGGATGGAAAACAAGTCCCGGGGATTGGGTCGAGACCCCTAGGGGTCGACGTCATGAAAAAATCGTGACGTCGGGGGTCTGGATACCCATCCACTGCTCCCTGGCCAAGCCCATCCTCAGCCCAGCAGCGGTGTAGACGCAGAAGCCCTCCTGGTTTGGCCAGGAGGGCGTGTGCACAGCTCCTGGGCCCAGGAAGGGCCCGCCCAGGGAGCAGTGGATGCGCATAGATTTCGTCGCCCGATGCTCTCGGGCAGACACGAGACTGTATCCGACGGTTCGGCGATACCCTGGGTTATCCACTGGGGGGAGGGGGGAGTGACAGCCGATAACCAAACCTTTTGGCTTTGGGCAGCCCCACGTACGGCCCAACGCTGCGTACTCCCTGCGGACCTGCGCAGCCGAAAAGGTCAGACTATCTGGGGGGGATGGGGGAGGGGCGGGCCCCATAACCCGGGCTGTCGCCAGAGCCTTACACAAGCACAGTCTCCAGCTTCCAGCCCTGATGCGTCGGGGCTGATGGTGGGCTCGTTTTTCACCGCCACCACCACAAGCAGGAAGGGGAGGGGAGCCTCCTCCTCCTCCTCCTCCTCCTCCTCCTCCTAATCCTCCTCTTCCTCCTCCTAATCCTCCTCTTCCTCCTCCTCCTCCACCTCCTCCCCCTCCAACTTATGGTGGTGGTGGTGGGAGACGAGCCCATCCGCTGACGTCCTGGATCTCCGACGACAGGACCTTGCCAGTCCCGGCCCTGCTCCTCCACGGTCGGGCTCGGGGGGGGCCCGCCGTCGGGCCCATTGTGGGACAGTCCGCAGCGTCGGGGCGAAAAAACCGTCCGAGGAGGGGCTCGGGCCGTCTGGAGCCGAGGAGGGGCACTGGGCGACAACAACAGACGCCCCACGACGACGACGACGACGACGACGACGACGACGACGACGACGACGACGACGACGACGAAAACGACGACGAAAACAGATCACGGCATAGGATGTCAAAGGGGGAACGATCGTCGGGCTCGCGCTGGCATGGATTGGGGATCCGTGCGCCTGGCGCGCGGGCGCCACATCCACGGAGCCGGGGGCGGCGCAGTCGACGCGATACCAGAAGGAACGTCACGTAAGGAACGAAGAGGCTTTCCTTGAAGGGGAATTGGGACACACAAATAAATACACACACATAAAAATATCCCCCATATTTTCCTATATTTCCTGGGCTTTTGTCTTCCCCCCCACTTCCCATATTTTCCCATATTTTCGGGGAAATCGAGGATTAATTGTGTCTGTGTGTTTTTTTCCCTCCTGATTCCTGGCCGCGGCGAGCTGCGGCCACGAAGGGGCTCTCTGACCTGGGCCTGCAGGGAGGCCCGAACAGCAACGGGCGACGAACGGTATCAAATAAACTGCTCCGTCGCCGGGGGCGCTGCCCCAGGGCGGCTGGAAAATGTATATACCTTGACGTGCCACCGTAAGGGTACAACCTTTCCAGCCGCCCTGGGACAGGCGCGCCCCCGACAAGGGAAAAGTGTATGTGTTACACCGTGCTTCGCCCGTGAAGGGAAAAGGAGTGGTCCTTACTTCAGCGCATCAGCTGAAACCCATCGGCACGGGGCCAATACCCACACCGCCTCGTCCGGCAGCGGAGTGCGCTCACGTTCCGTCTGGGAGCGGGGCCCGTCGCCGATCCACGCACCTAATCCCGTTCGTGTTCGTGCTTCCTCGAGAGAAGGGGGGAGCTCGGGGGGCGAGCAACATCGAGCTGGGGTCGGTCCTCCTCTCTCCTCCTCCTCCCTCCTCCTCCTCCACCTCCTCCTCCTCCTCCTCATCCTCCTCCTCCTCCTCCTCCTCCTCGCAGACAGATCGGCGATAGGCTCACGATCACCAGCCGAACCGCACGCTCCTGCGCGGGGTGGGCTATGGGGCCGCTCACGGCGAGGAGTGGGCGGCTGGGAGGCGATGCTCCCCCTCGCACGGTCAGGACGTCCCACCTCTGCCGGACCCACCCCACAATTGAAGGGGCCCCAGGACACACAAATAAATACACAAATAAAATGATTTCCCATATTTTCTCATATTTTCTGGATTTTTGTCTTCCCCCCCACTTCCCATATTTTCCCATATTTTCCTGGGACTCGACGATTAATTGTGTCTGTGTGTTTCTTTTCCTCCTGAACAATGTCCGACAACATGATTTGCCCTGCCCGGCGTTGAAAACGGCGGGACTGACAAAATATGACCACCATAGAAAACGAAGAAAAACAGGCCCTGGCGGCCAGAGTCGAGCAACTGCACCGCGCTGTTCCTCTCGATACTGGCCGCGCGGGCCCGTTCTCGGGACCGGGCCCATCAGTCATGGATCCGGGGCAGGAAACTACCCGGGGGAAGGGTCGCGAGCTCTGGGGCCCCGCCACCGTGCCTCTGGCACGAAGTGGGGTGTCCCAAGGCGCATGCAGCCCTGAGAGGTAGAGGGGTTGAAAAGTTCGTAAGGGCCTGGACCCCTGGTTTCCCAGAAAGTCCTGGGCGGTCTCAGGCGCTGCCGGGGTCTGTCTCGTGGGCGAGCCTCTTGGGGGTCCTCAACTTTTTGAGCTTCCTGGGCTACGAGACGGCCCAAGAGGCCTCCAAGAGGGCCCCAAGACAGCCCAAGAGGGCTCCAAGACGGCCCCAGAGGCTTCCAGGACGGCACAACAGGGCCCAATGACAGTCCCAACAGGCTCCCAAGATCGTTCCCAGAGCGCCCAGGAGGCCTCCAAGATGGCCCCAAGACAGCCCAGAGGGGGGCCCAAGAAGAACCAAGAGGCCTCCACGACGGCCAGGACGGCCTCCAAGACGGCGCTGAAGCACCCCTACTAGGGCCCCAAGACGGTCCAGAGAGGCCCCAAAGTCGGTCCAGACGGCGTCAGATGGCCCAGCAACGCCCTAAGACGGCCAAAGAGTCCCCGAACAAGCACCCAAAGGCCCCAAAGCGGCCGAAGCAGACCCCCAAAAGGCCAAAAGGCCTCCAAGAGGCTGACAGGAAGCCCCCAGGAGACCCCAAAAGGGGCCCAAGAGGCTCCCAAGAGGTCTACTCCTCCTCCTTCTCCTCATCCCGTTTCCTTCATCTCCTCCTCCTCCTCCTCCTCCTCCTCCTCCTGGTCCTCCAACTCTTCCTCCACCACCTCCTCCCCCCTTTCCCTTCTTCCCCTCATCCTCCTCTTCCTCACGTGTTCCCCGAAGGGTTTCAACGACGGCTAGGGGAACACATGGTCCGATAGCTTCGCCAAGCTATAGCCCAACTTTCTGCCTCACAGGCGCTTCCAAAAACGTAGGGGGCGGCTGTGATTCGCCGTAGGCGTCTTCGATTCGCCGCCCCCTGTGGTCGTGCCACAAGAGGGCCTGGCGTGCTAGACCCTATACGGCTTGGTTTTGGTTCTTGTCCAAAAACTCCCCCTGGGGTTTCGGCCGATCCCGCCAGCCACTCGGACGGCTGCCGAAAATGCCCGGGTGGTTGCCCAAATCGCATCCAAGACGGCCAAGATGGCCCAGGATGGCCTCCAAGACGGCCAAAATGGCCTCCAAGTTCGCCCGAGATGGTCCAAGATGGCCTCCAAGACGGCCGGAGAGGGTCCAAGATGTCTTCAAGTCTGCCCAAGAAGCCTCCAAGACGGCCCAAGACGGCTCCCAAGAGGCCTCCAAGACGGCCCAAGAGGCCTCCAAGAGGTCGTCCTGGAGGGCCCGAGGAGACCAAAATCATTGATTGTCCTTAGGTTTTTGAATGACTTTGGCAAGTGCTTCCTTTCGGCCTTCCGACGGCCCAAGACGGCCCAAGAGGCTCCCAAGAGCGTCTCCAGAGCGCCCAAACAACCTGCAAGATGGCCACAGGACGGCCCAAGAAGCCCGCAACACGGCCCAGAGGAGGGCCCAAGAAGGCCCAAGAGGCCTCCACGACGGCCAGGACGGCCTCCAAGACGGCGCTGAAGCACCCCTACTAGGGCCCCAAGACGGTCCAGAGAGGCTCCCAAGACGGCTCCCGACGGCCCAGGAACGCCCTAAGACAGCCAAAGGGGCCCCGAATAAGCCCCCAAAGGCCCCAAAGAGGCCGAAGCAGACCCCCGGAAGGCCTCCAAGAGGCTCCCAGGAAGCTCCCAGGAGATCCCAAGAGTGTCCCAAGAGGCTCCCAAGAGGTCTACAGTGAAAACGTATAGTAAGGACGCGTGGTAAGGACGCAAGACCCTTGGAGGCCGAAGTTGAAGTATTCTGGGCGGCAAGCGGCCAACCCCCCAGGGAACCTGAGAAACTGGCATGCGAAAATTGCTAGGGATGGGCCGCAGAGGCTGAGGCAGGCAAGGACCCAAGGGCACCCTTGAAAAAGTCGTTTGTCCTTACTATGCGCGTTGACTGTACTCCTCCTCCCTCCTCCTCCTCCTCCTCCTCCTCCTCCTCCTCCTCCTCCTCCTCCTCCCCCTCCTCCTCCTCCTCCTCCTCCTCCTCCTCCTCCTCCTCCTCCTCCTCCTCTTCCTTCAACTCCTCATTCTCCTCTGCCTCACGTGTTCCCCGAAGGGTTTCAACGACGGCTGGGGGAACCCATGGTCCGATAGTTTGGCCAAGCTATAGCCCAACTTTCGGCCTCACTGGCGCTTCCAAAAACGTGGGGGGTGGCGGTGATTCGCCGTAGGCGGCTTCGATTAGTGGCCAGAGAATGGCCGTCGAACGGTGAACCTGTTGGGTCCCCTCTCCCCCAGGACCATTCTAACCATGGTCACCTCCCCTCTCCTCAACAACCTACCCCTGGACCACTCCAGCGGGGCGCGAACTAGACAGCGTTCTCCGTTTTCGGTTTTGTTCTCGTCTTCCCTCGTTGTGTCTTCGTTCCGCCCTTGCTGCAACAAGACAATCAAGCCGAAAACGGTCTACGAAATCGCCAACACACTGTTTTTGGAGGCGAGCGCGAGGGGGAGTGAGAAAAAAACCTTCTCCGAGTGAGTCGCGGATGGGTCGCGGGTGGGTCGCGGGGCGTGGCGGGGCGAATCGCGGGCGGGTGGCGGTCGAGGACGACGACAACGCAGCCACAAACACACGACAAGCAGAATCCGCCGGGCCGAATGCCACTTCTGCCACGCACCCGGTGACAATGAATGACCGTTCGGCCCCCTCACTCTGATATTTCAATGTTTTTGTTTGTTGGTCTTCGCGGCGAAGCAGCCGGGACTCTCAGGGCCCGCCAGGGGTCCTGATCCCTGCCGAGCTCGGGAGTCCCAAAACGATGCGGTGACAGACCGTGCCGTGACCTCAGACACCCTAGGGAAACGACCCGAGTCCCAAAACCGTGCGGTCAACCCGAATCCCCACGGACTCGCCACACGGCATTCGGGTCGCACGTGGGTCTCAGGCGGCCGTTTGGGACGATCGGGGCAGCCCCAGAGCGCACACGGCGAGGCGCAGCCACTGGAGGGCACCCCGAGTCTGGGAAGCCGCCGAAAGCTCACGTCCGAGAACTCCGAGCTTCGAAACTCCGTCCCCACCTGATCCGATCTCCCCCCCATGACAGTGCCCCCTCCAGACGGCCCTAGCTGGCAGTGACCAGCGCTGGCGGTGGCTGGCTGTGAACTGAGCGGAGCCGGGGCCCTCCAGGCCAGGCCGGGCGCCAGGACTGGAAGAGAGAGGAGGCAGGGAGAGGAGGAGGAGGAGGAGGAGGAGGAGGAGGAGGAGGAGGAGGAGGAGCATGAGCATGAGCATGATAACAAGACGAAGTCTTAAACTAAAAGCCACCCACTGACCGCCCCCAGGTAGACGAGGAAATGGTACACGTACGCGGCGAACAACATACCTATTGATTCAAGGTTCGGCTGAGGTGAAATCGGCTCGATGCGGCCCTTTCAATGATGTGTACAACACGAGCCCAAGTCTCGATACACAGCACTGGTCATCGGGCAACCCCTCAGAGGGATCGCCTCCTCCACAAACAGCCCCGCCATGCCAATCCAGAATGCCGTACCCACGTACGAAACAAACTATTGAATTACACTGACGTGGAAGACTGCACACCGAAATTAGTGCATGATGCCGACACTACAAACCACGAGTTTCACCATTATTGAATGCAGAAGGACAGCGCCACCAAACAACGGTGATTGGAACAACCCTTGCACCCTCAAGTTCCTCGACACGCAGAATACAGACAAGCCGGCACCCATACATCCAGCGATGCAGCACCATGGCAGCACGAGCACATTGACAAGGAAGCCTGTACGCCGAACTGTGTGTAGCTATGAAGCCAAACCGACTGAATACAAACATTGCCGCGATCTTCACCACTATTGCATGCAATGAAGCTGGCACCAAACATAAAGAGCGATGATGCCCATACCCCCAGCATCCTCAGGTCCCTCGAAGCGCGGCCCGACAGCTTGAAATAGTACGCTCGGGTGCGGGCGGGTGGGTAAATGCACAACCAGGCTCCCCCCATGGGCCCCGCACCCGAGACGGACAACGAGGAATGTGCACAGGAAAGCGGAGAAAAACTCCAAACCATCCAGTCCACGACAGCCGATTCGCTTGAGAACCACTCACAAATGCAGTAGTACGGCACCTTGGCAGAACAAAAAACAAAATTGAATGACGCCTGACTGCAAGACTTCGCCCCGCCCTTAGCCGATCCGCGCCTCAAGAAAGAAGACAAGAGGTGCGGATAGCCACAAGCACGCCGCGATGAGGCGGCGGGGCAGGGCCCATGACGCGCTCGAGCCAAAAGGATCTACGCGCCTTGGGCCCCATGTGCTTGAGGAGGAGGAGGAGGAGGAGGAGGAGGAGGAGGAGGAGGAGGAGACAGGAGCGGAGAGTTGGGCGGAAAAGGAGAGAGCGAGAGAGGGAGAACGCGAGCGAGCGACGGAGTGGGCGGGCGGGGCCGGCGAGCAAGTGCGAGAGAGAGAGAGACAGCGAGAGACAGGGGGAGACAGAGAAGGACAGAGAGAGAGAGAGAGAGACAAGGGGAGGGGGAGGGGGAGAGGGAGAGAGAGAGAGAGAGAGAGAGAGAGAGCGACATTGAGGAGAGAGGGAAGAAGGGCAAAAAAAAAACGGAGAGGGAACGACACGCCGCCTTGCCACACCGTGCGGCCCTGGCCGCTGCAGGGAAAAAACGCCCCGGCAATGCCCGCCGCGCGTCGTGCCGCGCGGCGGTTCAGACTTCGGGCTTCCCCTCCCTCCTCCTCCCTCCTTCTCCCTCCTCCCTCCTCCTCCCTCCCTCCTCCTCCCTCCCTCCTCCTCCCTCCTTCCCCTCCCTCCTCCTCCCTCCCCTCATGTTCCGTCCTTCCTCCCTCCTCCCTCCTTCTCCCTCCTCCTCCTCCTGAGCCCCGTTGCCTTAGAACACAAAACAAAAAACTCCTCCCTGCCGCAAGCCCCGGACGTGTCTGTAGGGCGGGCTGGGCGTTCTGCCCGAAACCTCTTCACCGCCGATCTGGGCATCGCTCGAACGTCCATTCCCTGTGTTTTTTTTTGGTTTCGCGCGTGGCTTCTTCGCCAAATCATCAAGGATGCTCCCCGATGGTCCTCGCCGAAAGAAAAGTGCACAAGTCCGAGCGATGCCAGGCTATGACCCCGAAGCTTGAAATCTGCAGCACCTGCAAGGACGGAGGGCGGCCCGGGTTCAGCATGCACCTCCCGCCCCCGCGCCGCGCTCGCTCGTGCGGAAAGTTGGCCACCGCCTCAAGGATGGAGGGCGGCTGGCTTTCAACAGGGAGCTTTCGCATCAGCGCCTCGCGCGTCCCGATACAAACTTGCAGCAATTTCAAGGATGGGGTGCGCGTCGTTTTCAGACAGTGGCTCTCGCACTGGCACCGCGCACATTCGTGTCAAAAGGTAGCAGCGGTGTCAGGTATGGACGGTGGGCCGTTCAGAATTCGGTTATCGCCGCAGCGCCGCGCAATCGCGCCTTAAGTTTACGAAAAATGTAAAGGAATCGCAATGGCTGAAGCCGCAGGACTGGTGTTCTTGCACGGCTTCGGATTGCCAGGGCGCAGCAGTCACGTTAACTCACGACGTTGATTTGCCAAGAACTGCGATTTAGCATTGTCAGGGCGCAATAATCATGTATATTCGCGGCGCTGATATCCCAACAACGCTTTTTTTGACAATTGAAGATTCCCCTCTTGGGGCCCCTCCTGTGCCGTCTTGGAGGCTCTTGGGCCGTTTTGGGGCCCTCTTGGGCCGTCTTGGGGCCATCTTGAGCTGTCTCGTGGCAACGTTGCGGGCCTCTTGAGCAGTCTTGGAGCGATGGAAGTCCGAGAAAACGACAACCCGGAGAATCCATGTTTTTTCTCTGGGGGCTCTCTTTGGCCTCTCTAAAGACGCTTCAAGAGCCTCTGGGACCGTGTACTGTCAACATCTTCATTGCCGCGTTGCCGCAAACTGAAAATTGCCGCGTTGCTGCGAACATCTGTATTGCCGCGCCGCCCCAACATGCCCTGGACGCAAGATGCTGAATTTGGTGATCTTTCTTTGGCGACGGTGCCTTTTGACCACCCTTTTAAATGCACCCAGTGCGCAGTGCGAGCCTTTTTGGCGAGCCTTTGGCGGACCTTTTTGGCGACGGTGCCTTTGGTGAACCTTTCTGGCGAGCCGTGGGTTCGCACAGTAATCGCTCGCCTGTGAAAACCTACTGCTCGCAGCGTTTAATTGATGCAACCCCGTGACGCCAAACACCGCGACGCCAGACACCACGACGCCAGACAACCGCGACGCCAGAACCGCGACGCCAGAACCCCGACGCCAGAACCTCGACGCCAGAGCCGGCACGCCAGAACTGGCACGCCAGAACCGCGACGCCAGACGGGGCACGCCAGAACTGGCGCCGCCGCCGCCGCCGACGCCCGACACGGTCCGCCGCCGCCGCCCGTTAAGGTTCACGCGTGCCCTTTCGACTTCGCACTTCGCACCGCGCTCGAATGCCCCGCCGCCGCCGCCGCCCATTAGGGTCCGCCGCCGCCGCCGCCCGTTAGGGTTCACGCGCGCCCTCTCGAATATGCCCCACATGTTAATGCCCCGCCGCCGCCGCCGCCGCCCGTCGCCGCCGCCGCCTGTTCAGGTCCGCCGCCGCCGCCGTCGCCCGTTAGGGTTCGCGCGTGCCCTGTCGAGCATGTCTGGCAGTTTCATGCCCCGCCGCCGCCGCCGCCCGCTAGGGTCCGCCGCCGCCGCCCGTAAGGGTTCACGCGTGCCCTCTCGAGTGCGCCCCGCATCTTAATGCCCCGCCGCCGCCGCCGCCGTCGTCGCCGCCGCCGCCCGCTAGGGCCCGCCGCCGCCGCCCGCAAGGGTCCGCGCGTGCCCTCGCGAGTATGCCCCGCATCTAAATGTCCCGCCGCCGCCGTCGCCGCCCGCTAGGGTCCGCCGCCGCCGCCAATTAGAGTGCGCGCGCGCGCCCTCCTGAACGCGCCCCGCACTTTAATGTTCCGCCGCCGCCGCCGCCGACCGCTAGGGCCCGCCGCCGCCGCCGCCCGCTAGGGCTCACGCGCGCCCTCTCGACGATGCCCCGCAATTCATTGCCCCGCCGCCGCCGCGGCCCGCGAAGGCCCGCCGTTGCCGTCGCCGCCGCCGCCGCCCGCTAAGGTTCACGCGTGCTCGCTCGCGCGCGCCCCGCAATTTAGCGTCGCGCCCGCCCGACCCGACTCGCCCGTTCGGGTTCGCGCGCGATCGCTCGTGCACGCCCCGCTGTTTAATGTCCCGCCCCCTCGACCCGACCCGCCCGCCAGGGTTCGCGCGTGCTCGCTCGTTCATGCCCCGCACTTCAGCGCCCCGCCCGCCCGACCCGACCCGCCCGTTAGGGTTCGCGCCCATCCGAGGGGAGCCGAAGGTCCTACGCGCACGCAGACCGACCTTCATCCGCATGGCCATGCGGAAGGAGGGGAAGGAGGAGCCAGCAGGAGGATCGGGGAGGTGAAAGAGGGCCTGGAGGAGGAGGGCGAGGCACGGGGGAGAAAGGGCATTGGGGGTGCACGCGTGCCAACTCAATTATGATACGTCTCCCCCCCCCCCCCCCTCTCGGACTAGACGCCGCGAGGCCGCGCGCAGCGTTTGAAGCCTCGGCTCTTGCGAAGTTCTTCCTCTGCCATCTTCGCGCGCTTGCGACGCCTCCTTGGGCGCAGGGATGGCCGCAAGCCATGCTACTCCGGCTGCCGCGGCACCCGCGCCAGCGCCAGCCCCGCCCCCGCCCGCGCGCCCCGCCGAGAGCCCGCTGCCGCAAGGGCACCCTGCAGGGGGCGACTGCATCAAATCCAAGAAGACGGGCTACAAGCTTCACAGCGCAAGGCTCTTGCAGGCGCGAAGGCGCGACGCTGCAGACGGCCGCGCCGCCTGGATGCGCGGCAAGGGCAGGACGTCCAAAGGCGGGGCCCAAGGCTGCCCGGGCAAGCTGAACTCGCACATCCGCGGGCCCAACGTGGAAATAGAAATCCTGACGCCACGCCCCACCACCCTTGTCCGGGCCGCGTCGCTGAGGAGCGTTGCAGGGGAGACATCTACAATAGGGTGGCGGTCGACCATGGCCCCAAGGCGGCCGTCGTCGCAACGGCTGCCCTCTTCGAGGTCCCGCGCGACGGCGTGGCTGCCGTTCCCCCGCCAGCGAAGCTGCGCTGGGCTTGCTGGCCCGCGCGCAACCGGGCTACCAAGAAACACCCCCAGGACTTGAGCGGCGGCCGCCCCCCCCCCCCCCCTTCTTGCGCATCGTGCTCTATATAGCAAATCCAACTGAAATTCTGCTCGAATTTACGAATTCGGGAAACGATATTAGTCATTGTTCTTCTGCGTCTTCAACGCTTTTTTGTTGTTTACATTGAAATCAAGCAACCCGCACAGAAAACAGCGTTTCCTGGGAGTCCAACAAGCATGCAATACATGGCACATCGAACTGCCACGGCTTTACCACACACAAACTAAGAAAACAACACTATTCCATGCATTCCTACGCTTCTTATTCACATGTGCAAGCGTGTCTCCATGAAAGCAAGCGCGCCACCCAGGAAACGACGAGCAAACCTCACACACCCCGCAGGACTCCGGGACGGCGCCGACGACCCCGAGCAAGCCTTGGACTTCAGCTCCTTGGGCGCCCTGACGTCGGTGCCTGCGCTCGCGAAGTTCGACGATGACAACTTCTTGCTTTGGGGCTCTGGGGCAGGCCCAGCGGGCGGGCGCATCCCGGCGCACGGGGCCACAGTCAACACCGAGCTCATGAGCTCCTGCAACCTCTGGCTCGCCGACGGGACGTTTCGGATGGCGCCGGGGCCATTTTCGCACGCGTGCACGGCCCGCGCCTTCAGCAACGGCTTCACCATCCCGTGCATATTCTTCTTGTTGCCAGATAAGACCAGCAAGACGTACAGGCGCATGTGGGACAAGGTCTGCGAATTCATCCCGGAGGGCGCGGCGAACAAGACCTTGCTCGTCGACTTCGAGAAGGCGTCCTACCAGGCAGCGTTCCAGTAATCCGAAGACATTGACGCGGGCGGCGGTTGGTTCCACTTCGCCGCTGCTCTCTGGAAGCGAGTGCAGAAGATCGGGCTTGCTACCAGGTGCCGCGAGATCAAAGCGTTCCGCTTGCGCGCGAAGACGCTCCAATGGTTGGCCTTCCTGCCGCTGGAGGATGTCATCGCTGCCTTCGAAATGCTCGACCACGAGTTCGAGGACGGGGGGGCGCAGATCCTGGAGTACCTCGAGGAGACGTGGATCGGCAAGAAGCCCAGCCGCGGAGCTCGCAAAGAGCCAACCTTTTCCCATGGATCTCTGGAATGTGCAGCAGGGGCATCAGAAGGAATGATTTTGACAAACAACCTGGCCGAGCTGTTCCACCGCTTCCACGCCCACGACTTCTTCGAGAATAAGCACCCGTACTTCCCCTAGTTCGTCAACACTTTGCAGCCCCAGTAAGCTTGCATGAGCAGGGAGCTTACAAAGCTCGCGATGGGCGCACACAAGAAGTCCGGCCCGGAGACTACGCAGCGCACTGCTTGTCAGAAGGAGTTGATCCAGAGGTACCTCCAGGACAAGCGCATCGACGACTTCCTGACGAACATGGCCCAGCTGTGCTTGAAGCAGGACCAGTGAGGCCCTGCCTCCACCGGCCCTGTCTGTCATTTCCCGCGCTTCCAAGTTGGGATGCACTTCGACCTCTGTTTGCCTGCCCCGGCCCCTTTCACACTACAGGCGCGACCCGCCCTCTGTGCCGAGGTTCGAAATGACTCATGGTCCCTGGCACCTTCGCGCGCTCGTGAACAAAGCCATGCTCGTCCAACCAGGGTTCGCCTGGCCCGTGGGCGGGGGGGGGACTCAGTCCCCGAGACGCCGACACCTGTCGTGACTCATCGTGGAATCAATGGGGAAGCGTACGGAGACGGATAATTCGGGAAACGATGTTAATTTCCGTGTTTACTAAATTTACACGCGTTGCTTCATTTTTCTGTGAACCAAGCGAAACACAAAGAGACCTGCGCTTCCTGCGAAACCCGCACATACACAAAACATACACATTCATACTGCAACGGTTTCAACATGCATTTCCACCAAACGACATTACTGCATGTATTTCTAAGTTTTGACTACCATCCTTATTCGTTTCTGATGGAAGCCACACAAACTAGCAAGACAACACAAGTTTCCTGCGAGTCGAGCAGGCGTGCAATATGTACCAAATCCTACTGCAATAGCTACAGTGTATACGCGACGGACGACGGGGACGACGACAACGACGACGGAGACGACGACGACAACGACGACGGACGACGGAGACGACGACGACGACGACGACGGACGACGATGGACGACGACGGACGACGGGGACGACAACGGACGACGACGAACGACGACGACGACGACGACGACGGACGATGGACGACGACGACGGACGACGACGACGACGAATGACGACGGACGACGACGGACTACGACGGACGACGGACAACGGAGACTACGACCATGACGACGACGACGCAGAAACGACGACAGACGATGACGGAAGACGAACGACGATGGACGACGACGGCGACGACGACGACGAACGACGGCAGACGATGACGGACGACGACGGACGACAGACAACGACGACGACGACGACGGCGACGACGACGGCAAAGAACGACGACGACGACGATGATGGACGACGCACGACGACGACAAACGACGGCGACGACGACGACGACGACGACGGCGACGACGGACGACGAAGACGACGACGGACGACGACGGACGACGACGCCGACGACGACGGACGTCGCGGGCCGGCGTCGCGGCTCCGGCGAGGGGGTGCCCGGCGTGGCGGTGTCCGGCGTGGCGGTGTCTGGCGTCGCGGCCCCGGCGACACGGGTGCCGGCGTGGCGGGTCGGCGTCGTGGCTCCGGCGAGGCAGCGTCCGGCGTGGCGGGGTCCGGCGTCGCGGTTTCCGGCGTCGCGGAGTCCGGCGTGGCGGCCCGGCGTCGCGGTTTCCGGCGTCGCGGAGTCTTGCGCGGCGGTCCGGCGCCGCGGTTTCCGGCGTCTTCATTTGGCGGCGGCGTCGTCAACAGCTGCCCCGCCGAAGATCGGCGACAAGCCCGGGGGGGGAGTGAGAAGGGCACCGGCCTTCTCAGAGGGCTCGCGGAAGTCCCCAGGCCTTCTGAGAAGTGTCCTGCGCCTGCCCCGAAGACAAAAAACTTCTCAGAAGGCCGGAGCACTTCTGATAAGTCCCGCCGCCTTCTGAGAAGGCCTTCTCCTTCTCACTCAAATACCCCCCTCGGTCGCCGTCGAAAACTGTGTTTTGGCGATTTCGTGGACCATTTTCGTTTCGATGTCTTTTGCAGCAAGGGCGGCACGAAGACAGAACGAGGGAAGACGAGAACGATACGAAACCTGAGAACGTTGTTTGGCTCGCGCCCCGCTGGAGAGGTCCAGGGGTAGGTTCTTGAGGGAAGGCCCCTTGGTGCAGCAGCCGCCGCGGGCCCGCCAGCGGGGCTGGCCGCGCCACGCGCTCGGGGCGTGACCCGTCCCCCTGAGCGGCTCGCTCCCTCCGCCCCCTCTTTCGGCCACGTCCTCCGCCTGTTCCCCCTCCCGCATGGTGGCACAATTCGCTCTAACGGCACCCCCGTCTAGGCCTTTCTGCTAGCGCAGACGACCCCTGCCTCGCCGCCGACGCGAAACATGTGGCCGAAAGTTGGGCTGGAGCTTGGCCCACGAATGAGCTGCAGGAGGGGCCCGACCACAGGAAACCTTCCACGAGAACACCAACCCTGAGACCCCGGGGCGTCGCTGGATTGTCGGTGTGGGAACGCCACGCTTCCCTCCGCAAAACCATCGACACCCGAGAAACCCCGGGCACCCCGGGGGCAAGCAGGGCGTCTCTCGGCATGGGCCCCCGCTCCAGGAGCGGCCCCTCGCTCGCCGCCGAAGACGAGGGGGCGCGCGGGCGTCTCGGGGGCACCGCCGTCGGGCTCCCCGGAGCTGCATCGTGCGGGCGCTCCCGCGGAGTGCCGTGGGAGAGGTCCTCAGAGAGCAGAAAATCCACCCTCATAATTCAGCACCCCGACAAGCGAAGCCGTTTGGTAAACGCACCGAACTTAGGAATCGAGCGGGGCGGGGCTGGTTTTTGGTAAACGCCTGGGGCCGTTTGGTGAGCCGGTTGTCGGGGTCGGGGTGGTTTTTCCTCCCCTGAGTCCTCGATCGCGCGCCTGGGAACTCCGGCATCGAATGGCTAGCAGCGGGAGGACCCCAAATCTTTGGGAGGGGGCCGAGGTCAGGAGGGCCCAGAACATTGGGGATGGGGCCAATTTTTTCTCTGCAGATGCATCAAGCCCAAACCGCCAAGATGTACTTTCCCTGATGCAAAGACGGGGCCCTCAGTGAGGCCACGTCTTAACTGTGTCAGTAGGGTTAGGGGTTCTCGTATCCTCGATGCTTCTAGATGGCGACATCCGAAACCTACCCCCACCCACCATCGATCCTCCCGAATCGATGGGCGGCGGGGCTGGGGCTCGGAGTTCGTCACATGTTCGAAGAATTCCGAAGCCTACCCCGCCCGCCCATCGAGTTGCCCGCATCGTGAATCGACGGGAGTACGGCTCGGACTCCGCCGCCGACGGTCCCCACGGGAACCCGAAGGGCCGCTGCACGCGCGCGCGCAGAGCGTTCACCATCAACAGAGCAGACATCATTTTGTTTCCCGGGTCGACGGCGAGCGCCGAGCTCGGGTGGGCCGACCGACGGCCGCCGGAGGCCTGGATTCCCCACGCGGTGTCTTTTGCACACCAGGGGGGATAAAGACTGCAGTCGGCGCTTCGGTCATCTCATCTCTCACGATGTCCAGTGGAAATGCCAGAGCCACCCAGAAAACCACACGAGCCGACCTCAAATAGGCAAGCTCGCGCAGAGAACCTCAGACTGGGAAACACCATAATGACACACAGAGCTGCCCATGACAGCTATTGCCCTGTATTGGCGCGCTTGGGGGGGACGAGGGCGGGGAGAAGGAAAAAGAGGAAACCGTGAGGCTCCAGTGATGGTGCCACGAGTTTGTTGCTGCTTGCAGTGGTCGCCAGCCATGGCGGACAAATCTTGCCCCCGAGGCAGACAGGCGCTAACATAATTAGCTGCTCGTGACAAGTACTGCCTGGGCGAAAGAGCGGGAATGGGAAGCTAAGCCATGGCCCTGAAACTCGGCAATGGCCCCAGTCTCGGGCAAGACCAGAATAGGTCCATGGAGCGGAAATCGGGCGGAAAAACAATACGAACGCACACGCAAACCGTATCGGCGCCGCGCTGGGAGCAAGGACAGGCGGGGGGGAGAGGAGGAAGACGAAGAGGAGGAGAAGAAATAACACGGGGTAGAACAAACACGACAAGGCCCAACAGCCCAATAAGCAATAGGCTCGCCATGCAGATTCGGGCCACGGCCACCGAATCAAGACACAAAGGCACCCGAGCGCGCGCTGTGCAATACCGCCCGCAAGGCGGAGGCAAACTAGCAAGATAACAGCGGCAGCAATGGCGGCGGAACAGCGGAGGAAGAAACCGTGGACTACGGGAAGCCAACCAAAGCGGCGCGAGCGCCCGCTTGGCACGCGCGTGCCCCCGGCCGTCTTCACGAACTCGCTGCAGCAGCAAATCGGCCATTTAGATTGAGGGGGTGGCCGGGGTGGACGTGCCTCATCAAGCAACGCATGCTGCACTAATCAGATGGCGCGATGGCGCGAACTGCGCGGTCGCGCGCCGACGACGCTCCAAGCCCCAGCAAGTGCTTCAACCTGCCAGGTGGAATCATGCTTGGCGAAGGGCGCGGTGCTCAACTCTGGCGTTGCCCGCCCCACGCCGCAGAATGATTACGAAGCCACGACTTCTGCTTTCGCCGTGCGGTGACCCAGCCACTGCACATCGCGCGGAACAGCGCGGCCAAAATGCGCGACGCAAAGGACCGCCAGACCTCCTGGAGCACTTCCACGGCGCGGTCGGCACGGCGGCCGGGCAGGAGGGGCGCGGCCAAACGTTCAAGGCCCTAAGGCGGCCAGGATGACGCAGAGCTGCCTCGCCGCGGTCGGGGACGAAGTGATTGTAGCAGATGCGTTGCCACTGCTGCCGTTCGGCCGTGGACTTGCAGATCGCGCCAAATCCGTGCGCTCCAAAGAGAACCAGGCATTGGAGTCGAACAAATGCTGCCAATGGGCCACGCGCCAATCTGGCGGCCCGCGCACCCACCGGAGCCGGCGCAGCGCCCAGGCTATCGCTGCAACGC